TTCCGTACCTTGGCTCTAGTCCTATTTCGAACCTTAATGTGAGCAAAGATATGCGACCGGAGAAGCAAGGGTGGCTCTATCTGCGCACATTGTCAGGAAAGCCCACTCGAACTGTTTGGGTCAAGCGGTGGGCCTTTCTCAAGCACGGCATATTTGGGTGTCTTGTACAGGGCTCTCGTACAGGTGGCGTCGAAGAGAGTGAACGAATCGGTGTACTGCTTTGCAGTATTCGTCCTGCATTCCAGGAGGAACGCAGATTCTGCTTTCAAGTGAAGACCAAGAACAACACCATTCTGCTGCAGGCAGATAACCAAAAGGAGCTGATGGAATGGATTGGTGCCTTCGAGGCCGCCAAGCAGAAAGCACTGGAAAACCCCGCAAGCACTGATCTTTCGGTTTCTGGAAAAGTCACAGTTCAAGACCCTGCATTTTCAATTTCTCAACCCCCGGCCTCCGAGTTCGCTGCAGATCCTGCTGACTCTCTTACCCCCCATACGAATGACGAGCTCGGGGCGGGAGATCGCAGTATGACACTTCCTGTTCCGGACCGTGATGGATATACTATGAGAAATAGTACCGATATTGGAAGCGGTAGAAGACCCACAGGCTTGGATGGCGAGAGTTCTGCAAGAGAACACGCAAGAGAGCATACCTCTAGACTTATCCAAAAGTTGGATCTTCACCGTAAATCGAATAACGCGGCTCCAATGTCTCCCTCCATCCCCGGCCCCGCAGGCGGAATAGCCAGTCTCATCTCTGCCAGCCACAATATTCTCCCTTACAGCAACACCGGTCCACTCAACGTGAATGGTGATGATAAACGAGGTCGCAGTTTAAGCAACGTGGATGAGCCTGGTTCAAGTCTTGCACCTGCCACGCTCGCCAATCCCCCGGCACCCACAAGCATGAGCAAGGCGGCAGTGGTTGTGAGCAATGAAAGAGGTATTGGATTAGGTGTATCTGATAGCACAGGTGGCATGCCCAGTGGTATGATGGCGAACTTGTGGGGTAGCTCCAATTGGGGCTTCATGAACAAGCTCCAACGGGAACAACGCCAGATTGATGGAGCGTCTGATGACACCGCAGAAAGCCAGCCGTCTTCCACCTTGAGCGACAGCTCAACACGTACGATTGCTGCACAGCCCGATGCAGCGAGTGCTTTAACTGCACGACGACAGCAATCAGCTCCACGCCACAGACAGACAGTAAGTCTTGACGGAGACGATGTTAAGCTCACGCAAGTTTCACTGGGTATCGGACATGAATATCCAAGCTATTATCCTCAACAATTGAAGATTCAAGATGCTCAGTTCAGATTGCTTTTCCCGGACGTCAAGAGAGATGAAGCATTGGTCTTGGTGTTCAGAGCTACCTGGAGCCCTAACGACCAGCAAGAGTTCCCTGGACGAGCTTATGTCACAACAAGGAACATCTACTTTTACAGTCATCATTTCGGACTAGTGTTGACTACCGGTGTGTCTCTGGAGAGCATCAAGGAGGTAACTGCAGCTCCTGGGCGGGATTGTGACTTCCTTTTCCTTCATACTATTCCACCCCTCGGCAGTGATACCCCTGGTCGGGTTACGATTAAAACTTTCCTTGAACCTCTCCGACTTCTTCAAAAACGGCTCAACTTCTTGATCCAAGGCTCCATTGCCGTCGAGCAGTTGACCTTGGAACCTTTGATCAAAGCACTGATAAAGATGGACACTGGGTCTCCAGCCCGAAATTCCAGTGCAGATAGTTGGGAAGATCTCTCGTCTGGACTTGCAGACATCAAACACGACGGGGGTAAGCCTACGGACTTTAGTCATGCAAAGGACATTCGACTTCCTATTTACATTGACAAAGATCTTGAACTGGATGGAGGTAGGACTGGCCGTGGTCGGGACATTGCCAAATTCAGACTCCCGACCCAACCTGTGGAGTATGTTCCACAAGGTGACCTTGTTTTGGTGACCGAAAAGATTCTCGATATAAGCCCTAAAGCTTTGTTCCATATATTATTTGGCGACAAAAGTGCTGTGTGGCAACTTCTTTTACACGAGAGACAAGCTCGAGGTTCGTCGATTCTAGATCCCCAATCACTTCACTTATACATGGCTGACATTTCAAAGACATCAAACAAGGCCCATGGGCTAGTACAGAATTGCGGCATCTGAGGCGTGACTTCAACTACAATATTGGCACGACATATATCCTTGGTGAGCTCGATTATTGATGATCTTGAGATTGAGCTATAACTGATTTTGTATAGGTCGTACTCACGAAAGTGCCATATCGGATTATCAGATCATCGATGTTCTTAACGACCACCTGTGCTATGTGGTCACAGATAAGAAAACCCCATGGCATCTTCCCTTCCGACGTTCGTTCCGGTTGGTTAGCAAGGTTGTCGTTACATTCCAGGCCAAGTCGAAGAGTAAGCTTGCTATTTATACGAAAGTCGAGTGGCTATGGTCTCCCTACGGCCTCAAAAGTGAGTCTTCTCCTCTTAATCCTCCCATTTGAATAGAATGCAATAATCTAACATACCTAGGTGTGATCGATAAAAAAGCGAGTGAGGATCTAAAACAAGACTCCCTAGATCTTGTCGACCTAGTCAGTGACCAAGTACGTCGATTGGGTGCACATAGTCGCACTAAAAAAGCCATCACGATCTTCGGTCACGTTGGACGCCAAAACCACGTCTCCGAATTCAGTGGCGCTGGCTCCAACCTGAAGCTGGAACCCCGCAAGCCTCGAACACAGCGTGCCATGCACGAGCTTCTCCTCGAGACCTTCTTGTCATTCCTCGAAACGAGTGTTTCCTTCCTAATGATGTGGGCGTTTGGCGTAGTTCGCTGGTCTTGGAAGACCATGAGTGCACACAAGACTATTTTGACCATGTTGGCCATAAGTGCGATTATGAATGGATATTATTCTTCACGGGATAGTTGGGACTGGTGGCACGAGAGGCATGCAGGGAACTTCATGGCACGGCTGGGCGTACAGCCAAATCTCGTTATGAGCAAATCTATCTACATGCGGGATATTGATGATGCGATTGCAAACTCCACAATCTGGTCCCGTGCCGGCAATGCCAGTGATTGCTTTACTACCTTCCATGAGCAGACCATGCGATATTCCGAAATGCCTCTGTCGCTCAGTCCATCGGGACCCCGGGATGCATTGACCAAGAGCGCCATCAAACGCTTCCAGCAAACCCGTGAGCGTCTTGGCATGTATCGACACAACCTTCTTGTCGCATTGCGTGTCGTGAACAGCATCGAGAAAGAGGTCGTTCAGACCGAATGGGAGCGTTGGCTCCGCGAGGAGGTCCGGCGCTGTCGCCAGGTCGAGGTTCTCCTTGGCGGAGAGGCCACTCAGGGCGACGACTCGCAGACGGGCCAAACGGCCAAAGCTGAGCGAGTCTTTGCCGAGCATGCGGACGGCGTCAGGCAGTGGTATGAGGAGTACTGCTCGAGTTGCCGAATGGAGCAACAACAGGTCATATTCAATGATCGTGGTGACCTAATTCCTTGATTTTCTTCCTTGAGCAGTTTCTAGCCATCCCTGAACATATTGTCAAGCCTTCTGTACAGTCACCTAGCATTTCTTGCTTCTTGCTTATCACTATACCCCGTGGCTAGCTGATCATGTGCCAACAAAATTTCTTGTGTATAATTTCGGCGCATATCATGCAAGTCGTTGCTTTGAATGTACTCTGGATATCACGGATAATTTCAATTCATTGCTCTTTTGAATGAGTATTCGTCACATCATGTCGTTAACCCGCGAGGGGTAAGAATGCAATAGGTATTAATGTGTACATACGAGAACCACCCAGTGCCACGCACTCAGTTCTGCCTTGGCTTCACCTCGCCTTCATGCACAACATAGTACGCCACCGTCCCGTCCCCACCCATCCCCTTATCTACCATAGCAAGCAAGAATCTTTGCGCGCCCCATTCTTCAGTCAAACGAGCCTGCTCCTTTTTATCATAGTACTGAGCCAATTTCTCTGCCTTTTCAGGATCCAGACCCTCCGCTCCCGGCTGCACGCTTGTAGGATGGACAGATCGATCCTGCTCTTCAACCTTTTGCTTCAACTCAGAAAGCTGGTCAAACACAGTAGCCATATGGCGCAAGGTCCACGGCTGACCCTGTGTAGTTGGAACCACAAATATGCGCTCTGGTGCGAGGTCATCTTCGCGGATCCCATTTTCTAGCATGTACAGCTGCTCGTCTGGATGTGTGTACACGCGGTGTGGGGGGTAGCCGGAGAGCAGAGGAATTGGTTCTTTTGGCGGTTGCCGAGGGTCTTTGCTTAATGTGTTTGAGTCGTCCACTCGTCCAGGAATGACGTATCCCATTATAGAGGTCCAGAGGTGTTGGTGCTCGAGGTTGTGCTGGACTTGAGCAGATGTTGCGAGGTGGGGGGAATCGTAGCCCTTTTCGGTGATGTGCTCAGTGATCGCCGATGCATTGGGCCGTTTGGTGGCTTCCCGTGAGTGTGCCATCATGGATATTTTCTTGGAGGTTTTTGTCTTCTCAGCCTTAAACAGAGAGAGCTTTGATCGAGAGACTGTAAATCTCGGGACTTTTTTTGGACACACCGCCTGCTTAGATCTGATTTATGTACACCGCTTTCCTCAATTGGATTGTATAGTTGAGATAAGAAGCTAGGAAGTTCCAAGGTTAATGAGAGATTTGAAGTGATAATTTGAGGAGTGTCTCATGTTCGTTCCTTGTTTCATCTTGAGTTCAATTTTTTTTTTAAAAAAAAAAGAAAGAAAGCTAAGTGGGGTGGTGATCATAGACGAGGTGAAGTAAGAACACATGGCATCTTGTTATTCTTTTGGTTTCAAGTTCAGGAATCCTCTAGGACCCTCATGACAACCTAGGACTACCCTCGACAAAGGACCATTTTCCAATTGCTTCGCATACATATTCTATATTGTCTTTTCTTGTTCGAGTTCCTTGCATTTTCAAGTTTAATTCCACCCCAATTTGTCGTAATGGGGCGACAAAAGCAAACGGCGCCGCTCCAGAGAGCCCCTTCTCAATTAGTGCAACTCTCAGAAGAGTCCGATGCGCCACAAAATACTGGAACTGGCAACACAAACACAGTATCCACCGCAAATGGAAGTGTGTCCGAAAAATCACCAGCGGCCCTTGAAACAGTCGTCGACAGCCCTGGGCTGACGCAACTTGTGATTTGCGTTCTCGGTATATATGCGGCATTGTAAGTGTCTCGACCGCGTTTCGCCTGATTTCTAAGACCAGCCAAAGAAACTAACAAGACAAAAGCCTCTCCTGGGGTGTGCTACAAGAGGCGATCACGACGACCAGCTATCTCGTTCGTCCTGCAACCGTTGCCGAACCAAACCCTCCAACGGAGCGATTCACCTACTCATTGGTGCTGAACACGATCCAATCCTCCTTCGCGGCAGTCACCGGCTTTATATACCTTCTGTTTTCAACCCCGAAAGGCCAAAAGATCCCATCTATCTTCCCCACACGCCGGATCATCTTCCCCCTGGTTCTAGTCGCGATCTCCTCGTCACTTGCGTCACCCTTCGGCTATGCTAGTCTCCAACACATCGACTACCTGACTTTCATTCTTGCCAAATCATGCAAGCTCCTCCCGGTCATGGTCCTGCACCTGACCATCTTCCGCAAGAGATACCCGTTGTACAAGTATGGTGTTGTCCTGATGGTCACTCTCGGTGTCGCAACTTTCAGTCTGCATCACCCAGGAACTAGCAAGAAAGTCGCTGCCAAGGGTCAGTCTGGATCCTCCGGATGGGGCATCTTCTTGTTGTCCATCAACCTCCTTTTGGATGGCTTGACCAACACCACTCAAGACCATGTCTTCTCCTCGCCCAAGCTGTACACACGCTTCACTGGACCTCAGATGATGGTTGCTCAGAATGTTCTCTCGACCATTCTGACTTCTGCATACCTCCTGGTCATGCCTCACCTATCTCAGAGCGGGGTTTTGCATAACCTGCTTCCCTTCCCCATCCCCCCGTCCACTGAGACTGAGCTGTTTGGTGCCTTGTCTTTCCTCTCCCGCCACCCAGAGGCGCTGAAACATGTCCTTGGGTTCGCGGCATGCGGCGCTGTTGGCCAGCTCTTCATTTTCCACACTTTATCTCGCTTCTCCTCACTGCTGCTTGTCACTGTCACCGTTACACGTAAGATGTTGACTATGCTCCTCAGCGTTTTCTGGTTTGGACATTCTCTGTCCGGTGGCCAGTGGTTGGGGATCAGTCTGGTCTTCGGTGGCATTGGCGCTGAAGCGGTGGTACAAAGATCGGAGAAGAAGGCGAAAGAGCAGTCGAAGATTGAGGCTGCGAAGAAGGAGCTGTGAGGTGTATTGCTTGGCTCTGTAGATAAGCTTTCACGTAAAGAGCATTTAGATTTCCAAAATATAAAGAATAATTTACAGCCTTTGAGTGGCTTCTCCTTTTACATATTTTCTCAGGTCTTTTTGGGTATATTCTTGTGACGGTTTGTCTTTTAGAGGGCATAATTAATGGGAAGAAGCTCACTTCCGTCCCTCAACCATGATGATGTGATATCCAAACCCAGTCTTGACCTCAGCATACTTGGGATTTCCTGTTGTGCTAGTTTCAAGTTCAAAGGCAACATTTTCAAATGCAGGGTCCAGCCCACCCTTCGTCTTCCATCCAAGCGACCCTCCTGCAGAAAAGAAATCAGCTCTGTTCATTTCGTCCCTCAGATATTTACTTACCCTGTCTAGCCTTATCCTCCGAGAATTCACGAGCAACCTCATCAAACTTGGTGCCATTGCGAAGCTTCTCTAGAGCTTCTTCTTTCTTGGCGTGTTTCTCGCACTAGACATGATTAGAATGAGCTATATAACAATACTTTCTCCTGTCCACAGAATCTAGTAGTATTTGACCAGCTCCTAGTACCATGGACTGAGGATCCAGGATTGGAAAGAGAAGAGCAAGAAAACATACAAGAATGTGTCGCACGTTAATCGACTGTGCGCCTTTCACGGCTCCTCCCTTTCCACCTTTGCCTTTGGCGTCATCAGCAGAGGCATTGCCCTTGCCCTTGGCAGCTTTGGCGTTGTTCTTTGGGGCCATTGTGGATGAGAGTGTTCAATAATATGTTGTTATCGCTGCTTCGGCCGTTGGTTGTTCGGACTGAGCTGATGTGGGGTGGGATATTGCTGCCTGAGGTTGTAAGGCAGAACGGGTGTGTGACGTGGACGCATGTCGCTCTACTCTAACGCGCGATGTATATGTATGGAATTATCCCTAGCTCGAATGCTGTAAGATCTTGTTTTTCTACAAACTATTCATTATTTCTTTGCCTTAGTCCACACTGCCAACCATTCGTCAATAACCAGCAAACATCGGGGAATAGGAGCGATCTAGTATCATTCCGAGCTTAGAAAGCAAATGGAATTCAATATTGAAGCTGCACGCATCACCAGTTTGCCTGATGATGCATTCTACATATCAGACTTCATTACAGAGGATGAGGAGGATTAGGTTACTCCGGAAGGTAAGTGCCAGTGATTGTCTTATGATATATTATTAGAAACCATGCCTCGCACTGTTGATGTTAGATACTGGGCGAATATATGTTCTTGTGATTATGCCATTTCTTCCCGACTATCCATAGACGCTGCATGTCACTTATCCATGTTCAGATCTCACTCACTGCAACAATCCACAGGTAAAATCAGCGCCGCTGCCACGCTGGACCCAGCTCTCACACCGCAGGCTTCAAACATGGCCATCAGCCCTGACAAAGAGTAATGTCCTTCTCACATCGCCCCTACCAGCTTGGCTTAGATCGCCAATCATCGAGCCACGGTTTGAGGCATTGCGTATCTTCAACGGTGTACCACACAAGGCCCCAAACCATGTCCTAGTGAACGAGTACCAGCCTGGACAAGGGATCATGCCACACGAAGATGGAGCAGCCTACCGTCCCCTTGTTGCGACAGTGAGCCTAGGAGCATCGATAGTGCTCGATTTGTATCACAAACACACCAAAGACGACAGGGAAGCAAGCGGTACACTGGCCAAAGGCGGAAGAGACGTTGCCGGGATACCCGACACAAATCGAAAACCTCAATACAGAATCTTGCAGGAGAGACGAAGTCTGCTGATCTTGAGGGGTAAGATGTACACAGATCTTCTGCATGGAATCAAGGAAACGATGAGGGATGAGGATCTGGGCCCCCACTCGATCTGCAACTGGGAGCTCTTGCGGGAGAGGGAACCGTACCAGTGCGGGTGGTACGAGCGGAAGATGAGAACTAGTCTTACGTACAGGGACGTGCTTCAGGTTGTGAAGATGGGGAATACCTTGAAGATTTCAGGTGGGGAGTAACGATCACTCCATTTGCAAATCCAGGATTTTTGAGTTTTCTTTTTAGCTCCATATTAATACACATAGGGAATCATTAACCACCAGTCCTGCACTGAGTCCTTGCCGAACTTTTGCGCATACCACTTCTTGGTATTCCGAGCTGTGAGACCCAGGTTGACTGCGACAAAAGCCAGACATGATAACATAGTTTTATTGATCCATTCACCTCGCGGTGCAGCCAACAATGCCAACGACAAGTAGACAACACATTCTGCGCCATAGTGGGGACAGACAACACCGCGGAACATTGGATGCTCTGGGAGGGTGTACTTTTTCAACGAGTATAGGTAGTGATGGGAGTCGTGCTGCAGACCAGACGCCATTAGGAAGAGCGGGATAAAGAAAAAAGTCCGCAAAGTTGGGGCGTTGGTCATCTGCAGATGAGCGATGGTCAAATTTCTGGTCAACAGAGTCCCTGAACCCTCGATCCAAATTGCAATTCCTGCTGCTAGATAGAAACCCAAGCCCAACAGCCAGTGCATAAAAAACATCTGTGAAGACGAAGGTTTGGAAAAGACAAAGCACTCCCATAGACGCCGGGATCCTTGTATAGCCAATAACACACAACAGATCACCAACTGCGTCAGGGACATGGAGTGCCGTTGATGATCCTCGCTAACGCGGGATGCGATGGCTTGGAACATCACACCCCGCGATAGCAATTGCGTAACCCAGAAAACCGACGAAAGGACCGATGCAACATAGAAATGGGTGAAATAGCTATGTGGCACCTGCCAAGTAGCAAGATAATCAAGGAAGCCCTTGCTCTCGGTGGAGGGGTTCTGGGCGCGAGGTGGTGCAGAGCGGGTGGAGATCGAGGCCGGGGTCGCGCGTGGGCCATAGGTGAGGAAGCGGGACCGTAATGAGGTTGGGATACTGATTGAGATGGTCTGCATACGAGGGGTCGGCGTTAGTTGGGTTCGTCTGCAGGTGGTGTTCACTATCACCAACTATCACAGGGCATATCGTACCGTGGCGGCGGCCAGCAGGAAGAACGCGCGTAGAGCATCCACGGCATCCATGCCGGTGGCTTCCAGGCTGTTATCAACCCATTGTGAGATTAGAGACATGACTCTTGAATGAGTCCTTGTTTTTTTCTCTCTCCCTTTTCCGTCTTTTCCCCGTTTTTGTTTCGTATTGTTTCTAATTTAGTGTCATTGTGATGATTATCAGTGAGGTGTTTTAGGGGAGGTGGTTATTGTGGAGAAAACCAGCCCCCTCCCCCGCCGATCCTTCAGCTCTCGCCAACAGAGGATAGAGGTAGTTCGGCTATGGGATTAGCTTGGGAATTGGAAAATTTGGGGGCAATTTGGGTCGATCATAGAGAGAGAGGTATTTTGTATTTTGTATTTTGTATGTTATTTCTTATTTTCTAGTTTCTATAGATATAAGGACAATATTATATATGTTGTAGTTATGTTGTACTCCGTAGGTAACAACATAACCCGGTGGCGAGTTTTTTGAGGCAAATCCACTTGGCCGCATTTGGTCTAGCCTGGATAGGACTGTTTGGTGAGTTTGCAACTTCCAAATTAGGGTTAGTGGCCAGAGGTCAGTGCCCCCCTTTTCTCACGGTATCATCGTATCATCGTATCATCGTATCAGTCGTATCGTCTCCCCCGTATGGACCGTCAGAACAGGAAGTGCAGTGCATTCAAAGATAAAGAAAAAAAGAAAAAAAAAGAAAAAAAAGAAAACAAGTAAAATGTTAGAGCTCAAACATCAACCCCTCTTCAGACAAAAGCACGAGTAGTCAAAATCCCTGCAGCTTGATGATTCTACTGTGGCCAAACCTGACCCAGTGAGGAGCCCTACACCCAATGAATCCCAGTCCCATTCCTTTCCCTTCCCGCTTTTCTTCTTCCCTTCTCTTTCTTCCCCCATTCAACCCCCCAAGTGAAAAACAACCCTTGAATTTAACCCTCGATCTATATACCTATACCAGTAAATCCAATATCTGGACTTCTTCGACCACTATCCCGTATCGCTCCTGTACCCCCGGAGCGGTATTGCCCACGTTTCAAGACTCTCTTTGCGGGTGAAACCCGCGGTTGAGGATCGGCATCCGCGCACAACTGCTGGCGTTGTCGACCACAGTTGTTTTGTCGGTCGCGTTTTCCCCCCAAAATGACGAGCGGCATTTCAAGTCTTCGAGTGCTATCGCTATGAGTGATGTCGAGGCAGTCTCTTTACCAGCTGCCCTGGACGTCGGTCAGAATAGGCTTGCCACAGTAAAGCCAGACCCTGTTGGCCCTTTATCACCGGGCAAAGCTCGTGCAGACTCTCACCCACGGGTAGACAGCGATGGACCGACACGTGTACATTCAGAAGGGGAGGAGGATGGGCCTCCTAGTCCTAGGGCGGATTCGGAGGCGGAGACCATAATCCAATCAGGTCGAGAATCTTTGTCGCCAGAGAAGAAAAGAAAGCATATCAAACACGACCCGAGTCGCCATGAACCTAACGGAATCGATGGACATCACCGAAAGAAACCACGGGTGTTTGGCGACATTCAAGAACGCGAACGGGAACAAGAACGGAGCCCTCCTTCTCCAATCCACCGAGCAATTTCGCCATCGGTGGTCAAGATTGAAAAGGTCGATGATTCTCATATGCCAGATACGGAAGGCGTTGCCAATGGAATCGACCGTACGTCAGAGGTACCTCGTGCTTTCCGTAAGCGAAGCTTAAGTGACAGTGCCGAGGAGCAACGAGGTCATCGTCGCGCACACTCCCACGCAGCATCCCATCCTGTACGGGAACTCAAACATACAAATAATACGCGCCTCTCAAGACCTCCATCCAACGCACGATCACTCTCACCCAGCCGACCATCTCACCAACGATCTGCTTCGGGTTCTCAGTTCCCCACGAAGAAGGCGCCGACCCCCGTGCTCTCAGGCTCGGGGCGACATAGCTCCGAAGATAGACAATCGACGTCCTCCTCTCAAAGCGGTTCTCCACTGCCGGCGCACCTGCGGAAGCTTGGCTCTGGAGTCGGTGCTTCCGCGTCGCCTGCTAAGCAAATGGGACCGAAAAAGTTGCGTGACAAGAGTGGCCGGACTCCTCTTGCGCGGGCGTGTGCGGACCGGAAGCATGATCAAGTGATGATGCGCCATGCTGAACGACCAGAAGACATTAATATCCCCGATAATGCAGGCAACACCCCCTGCAAATCGCATCGCTTGCTGGAGAAGCCGAAATCGTAAAGTTCCTGCTAGACGCAGGCTGCGAGATCAACACTAAAAACATTGACAAAGACACCCCGTTGATTGATGCCGTGGAGAACGGGAATGTGGAAGTGGTTAAACTTCTGCTTGATGCAGGTGCAAACCCACGAACTGTGAATGCTGAAGGAGATGAGCCTTATGAGTTGGTTCCGTCCTTTGTAGATGATGACGAATATGAAGAGATGCGGAAAGCCCTTGCTGACGCCAAGGCCAATTTACGGCCTGGTCGACGCTCAGAGGAACATACAAGACCAGAGAGCAAGGAACCTTCTTCCCGACGAGCTTCAGCAGTCAGAGGATCGGTAGCTAGCCCCCGAGATTCGCCTCCGATGCGCAGCCCTCCTCCAGTGGGCGCGGCAAACCGACGAAAGGGTGGGCGAAGCGAAGCCACGAGAAATGACCTTCTGTGGACGAAACCCACATTTGAGAACCTTCGAGAGTTTGCTGCCAAAGGCGATGAGGCTGGGGTGGTGAGCATTCTGAATATTTTGCAGAAAGCCGACAATGCTTCCTTGATTGCTGCAGCAAAGGGTGGCCATCACGATGTCCTCTCTCTTTTATATGCGATGGGTAATGCAGACGCGGATCCGAACCCGTTGCGTGGTCAAAAGCCGGGCTACAACACGCCTATGCTTGCTGCGATTGGTCGAGGAAACAGCGCTGTTATCCAGCTTATCCTAAACCAACCCGGATTCAACCCAACTCGACGGTTGTTTGAAGAAAGGACGTATTTTGAACTGTCTCGGGGTCGACAGGGTGAGAACTGGGAGGACGAGTATCAAATTCTGAAGGACGCGTATGAAAGGGTTGCAGGTTCTGACAAGGGTCGGAAAGACGACTCACCGCGCCGTTCGCGTGGGAACGAGAATGAGGAGAGGCGTCCCCCACGCAGAGGGTCTTCCTCCCCCGTCGCGCGTAGGAAAAACAACAGTCCCAACCCCAACCCCAACCCCAATCGAAACCGCGATTATTTAAAAGAAATGGATTCAACCAAAGAAAAACGTCGTCAAAAAGAGCACGATTTATCCCGACCATTGGATTCCTCCAAACCCAAATCTTCATTATCCGCCAGACGAGACAGCGAGTCTAGTGGAGTGGCACCCAACGAAGACATCCGAAAGAGACGACTCATTGCTGGACGACGCCCCCAGGAGCGCAGGCCAAGTCTCTTTTCGTCTGATTCACTCTCTGGACGCGAAGAGGCACCGAAGCCGCGTGTTGACACAGCACCCGACAACACATTGTCCTTGAAGCGCATTCGCGCTGATGGGTCCCCGGAACGATCTCGTTCGCGTGGCACAGATGGTGATCGCTTATCTCCTGAGGCGCGCAAAAAGAAGAGACGGGTTGTCTCTGAAGATAAGTCTTCTGGCGCTACGCATGGTGCGCCAAGGCAACCTGATGATACCAGCAAACCTCATCCTCGCCGACCCCACGAGGAATATACTCGAGGTGCTGAACCTCAGCCACACAAACCCACCGACGCCTCCAAGAAACCCCCTACCCGCCCAACTTCACCCGGTCATGATCCCGTTAAAAAGAATGGCGATATAAAAAAAGAAGCACACGAGCCCAGAGCTGATCCCATGGAAGACACAATGGCTGTGGCGAAACGTATCGAGCTCGAAGCCCATGAGCGTCGACGAGCCCAGGCTAAGAAAGCGCAAGAGGAGCGTGCCGCGAACGAAAAGCGCATTGCAGACGAAGCCGAACGCGATCGCCTTGCCAAGGAAGAAGCCGAACGATTGGCTCAGGTTGAAAAAGCCGAAGAGGAAGAGCGCAAACGCAAGGAGGTTGAACAACGACGCGCCAAACAAGCCGAAGATGATCGCCTGAAGCGGTTGGAGCAAGAACGGGCTCGAGCTGCCAAGATGCGCCGCGATCGGGAGGCAGCAGAGCAACGACGCCGTGAGGCTCTTCCTAGTCGCCTTCGTGTTGCAGCAAACCTCGTGGGATCCAACAACCCCCGTGCGAAAAGCCATGACTGGCTCAAGTCTTTCATGCCTCTCGTTACTGCTCTCACCCGTCAACTCGATCCTAGCTGTGGTGTGGATGTCGCTGACGAGAAATGGATCCCGAATTACTTGGTTGCGCCTCTCCTGGCCACCAATGATCTGCAACTTTCGCAATACGCCAGCTGGGAGAAGCGAAAGGCGACACCGACTCAACGTGTAAATCTGTGGCGAGTCACTCGTCGCATGTTGACTCATTCGGACGATGCTGGCTTCCAAAGCTCGAGCATCGGGCAGATCATGCAGAAGGATTGTGACACGCGCCCCAAGTATTTCGAGATGGAGCATGTCTTCTGGATCCGAGTAAGTTTCCTGAGCCTTGCAGGTTATGCTTCACCACTAATAAGTCCCTTAGCTTTCTGATTTCACCGACCTCGTCCCACACATCCCTCACCTGCACGGCCTAGAATTGCAGTTCTTGAACATGCACGTTGATCCGGAGCCGCCGATGGTTGACACAGGCTTCATCACTCCCCAACTCAATGGCCATGGCCCGGAAACCTCAGTCGAAATCAACGGCACCGGGCTCAATGGTTATGGCCCTTCTCGGTCTAGTACATACGTCTAGTTTCATTTTCAGCGTCTTTTCGCAGACCCCGGCGCGATGTTAGCAATTCAGCGAATCGGTGTACAGGGTGGATTCTGATTGTACGATTATGATACCTCTTGCGTTCAGTGATGATTCTACTGTTATTTGGTGGGTTTGCTGTGGTTTAGTAGTCACTGTGATCATGAATGTAATCATGCATACCTGTCTGTGTCAATAATACCAAGTTCAAACACAATCCTCCCTGATAAAGATACATGTAGGTATTTGTAGTAAGGTAGGAAACCCCGTACTACGTTGGAAATCTCAAGATTAGATTACCAGCGCCATCCAACAAGATTTGGCGCATTTACATTCATTGTATAGACGTAAATATCACGTGACTACGTTTGCGGGGACTACATGACATAATCGTAGGGCACACACAGCCGAAAAAGTCGAAATAGCGGGAAATTTCACGCCGCCCGCATCACCTCTTAATTTCTCTCTCCAACAACTCTACTCTTCGAGGATCATCCGATTTCAAGCACAACAAGCAACAAAATGGTATGTTTCATATCTGTGAATCACATTCACACCATACCCACGCCCGCCTCGGATCTTATCACGACGATTGAGACCCTGGAATGGACATGGCCGGCGACAGCGATTGCGTCGCCGCACTAGAGGCTACCCCTCGTCGGCCCTCTTATCTATGCTGCGCCGATCCAGTCCAATTCCAAGTCTAAAGAGCCATGACAACGATCCAAGCAATGGAATCCTATAAACCCACGATACTAACATGATGCTCTAGTCGGACGGAGAAGAGCCCACATCCCCCATCGCCCCCGCTGAGGAGGTCGAGGTTTCTGCCGATGCCGGCAGCGGCCAGATGTCCGTCCTGGACGCCCTCAAGGGTGTTCTGCGCGTCTCCCTGATCCACGACGGTCTTGCCCGTGGTCTCCGTGAGGCCGCCAAGGCCCTCGACCGCCGCGAGGCCCACATGTGTGTCCTCAACGAGGGCTGCGAGGAGGAGGCTTACAAGAAGCTCGTTGTCGCTCTCTGCTCCGAGCACAAGATCCCCCTCATCAAGGTTCCCGACGGAAAGATGCTCGGCGAGTGGGTCGGTCTCTGTAAGTTTCCCCGCGATCTCGATACATGATATTCGTTTTAGGGGTGTATTTCCTAACGTTTTGTTTTCCAGGCACTCTCGACCGTGAGGGTAACGCCCGCAAGGTTGTCAACTGCTCTTGCGTCGTTGTCAAGGATTGGGGTGAGGAGTCCCAGGAGCGCTCCGTTCTCCTCAACTACTTCCAGACCGAGCAGTAGATTATCTCTACTGAGCGGCTGTGAGTAGCAGGCTTCAGGCGTCGGGTTGACTGGGGGCTTTGTGGTGGGGATCAAATGAAGAATACATAAGGGATAGATCAATGTCGGAACTACCGGCTGGACTCGGATTTCTCTGGGTTTGGTATCTTGGTGGAAATTTGTGATATCTCTGTTTGGTCTTTTGAACCTGTCATTTCGAATCACCTAGTCTACAGCCGTGCCCCGTTTACTCGGGTTCGCGGCACCAATGGCATCTGGACACCTTGTCTACTTTGACACCAAAGATAAACTAGGATGCGATAGCATCTCCATGAAACCCTTTTAACATAAGTACATGTAATCGACATTGTCTCATTATCGTCTGAGCAAACTAGTGTTCTCTGATTAATATTTGCAACACAACCAAGGAGCGCGCAGAGAAAGTGCGGTTTGAAAGGCCAAAAAAGAGACGGAAGTCCATAATCTGATGAATGAAGACCAACACTGAACCGACTTCTTTATATTACCATTTGGAGTCAAGTACCACGACCAGCTCCCACTCAGCACCAAAATCGATACGCCAAAACACCGACGATGGGGAGTGGCAGGAGGCAATAAGCAAACTTCGCCCAAATGGGGAGAGATAAACTGGTAAACGCGATGCTGTATATCTTCACACCTTGTTCTAGAAGGAGGGTAAGACCAGATCTTTTGTCCGCAAATGCAGTCTCAATCATCAAGGAGCAAAAAATGAGTACAAACATCCAAAGACCCGAGAGGAGGAAGTCTAAGAATATCTCGTTCGTATTGGTGAAAGGATCACCCTCTGCCGCCCAGAGGATAACCGCACCAGCCAACCTGGTTATATGTACAGCGATCAGATCAGATATTTTGAGGTGGGAGACCCAATCATTGTCGGGGTCGTTGAGGTCCACAGTGGTTAGGTCTGATATAGAACGGGGTTCGAGCGGGGGTACGGTTTGACCGTCAGTGGGAGTTTGTGATTCATCTTGAACGTGAGTCTCATCCTCTGCGTGAGTAGAAGGGAGTTCGGACGGGGGTTCGGTTTGGTCGTTAGAGAGAGATTGTTCGTCATCCTGTGTGCCAGTCTCATCTTTTGCGGGGGTCTCATCTTGTCCGCGAGGCTCATCTTCTACGACAGTGTTAGACCTCTTAGTTGATCCTAGATAAATAACCACTAGAACTTGACTCACCTTCCTGGATATATTCGATGACTGTGATGAGCGGTGCGGCCAGTAACACCACAGAAGAAACTTGGCCAAACGACCAATCATTGATACCAGTCAACGAAGCCTCGAGGCCTATCTGTTCCGGTCGATATATTGTCCTTATCAGTCGGACAATACCATATGCAAAGGCAACAATTAACCAGCCGACCTAAGGTCAAGTCAGAAAACATGAGATATAACCAACACACGTCCCATATAAGATATCTGACCTCTGCAATAGCAGAATCCCATATATCCACGAGCACCAAACACGTGAAGTAGACAGATAAGAGAGGAAGATAGCAAAGCACTAATTTCAGACTCCGTGGTGAGCCCGATGCGCCGCTCCAGTTAGACACATTTCTCCAGTCATTCACATCGGTCCAGTCATACACAATATGTACCAACTTTCGTATGGGTCGTGCAAGAAATGTTCTGGCTCGTCCAACAATACCAACTGAAAGTGTATCGTAGAGGTTAATCACCCTCGAAGCAAATCCAAAAATCATCAAGATCATCAAGTAAGGCATCGACAAGAACGCCGAATTGATTCCCGGATGGGGGCGCATATAACAGATTGCATGGTCACTGAGAGTCGGATGGTTGTCATTGTCTGCGTCAAAAGCCCAATGATAGTTTCCGGTGAAACTAAGTCCCACGATCAACAGTATAACTAATACACCCACTGCTAACAACCTCAATACCCTTTCAGTGGGGTGATCGTGGAGATGGTTGCGCAGAAGGGTTAAGCAGGATAACTGAGTTAGGCAGGAAAGCCAGCCCAAGTGGACGACGACTTGCCAATGATAGGTTGACAGGCCGCATCTGAGCTGGAGAAACCCGCTGATCAGGATGGAGAAGCCTGTCACGATTTGTATGTCGCTCAATGCTCGGATGAACTGTTTTTTTCGAAGTTGTTTTTAATCAATTCCTGATTCACTGACTTGATCTCATGAGAATTAACCCACCTTCAGTAAGAAGTCTGCGAGTTTTTTGCTGGGGTTTTTGACGAAAGGTATACCTCTTAGGAGTAATCTGAGGTTAGTTAAGATGCTTTTGTCTATCGGGTTAGGTCGAAATGGAGTTGCTGGTGTTTGACCATCTTTCTGAAACGGGTCGTGGGTTGTATCGTAAATGGCGAAGTAGTGGAGGAGAATGACCACTACAGCGAAACCGGCAGTCACGATATTGTTGATAATGATCTAAAAAGGTGAGATGCGTCCATGCCCAACAAGAGAAACCAAGTGAAACGTGTGAAGGGGAACTCATACCCCAATACCAGTGATATCGCTGTTTTCAGACAAGGTGGGGCTGGGAGCTGAGCAGTTGAAATTGCAGGACATAACGAAGGCGTCTGATCCCTTTCCCGTATATATATCAGTGTCTCTCTCTATTGTAGACCCTTCGGTTGTGAGGTTGAAGATGTCAGGGTAAACATGGGGGGTTCTACCTAACTACATAGGATAGATATCCTTGCTTACGCACGTGATGGTGAGGCTGAGGTTTATTGGTATAATCTCTGTTGTTATATATCTGGGATAAACTACCTCAAATCTAAGTAACGTTTGGCACCGTGGACTTCTATGGGACTGCAAAGGAATACATCCCCGAGGTCCACTACCTACATAGTTATATAACTAGTACCTTATATTTGGTTTGATGGCACCGTGCACTGTCTGGTTAACCCCGTCAAAAGCAAGAAGAAACCGCTTATGTCAAGGTTTGGTGAAGGAATGCTTATGGTTCACATTTAAAATAACCAATCTGTTTCAGCACTCGACGATGCTGAATGAGGTATTTCTCTCTACTGACCGGGATTCTCTTTCAAGATGTGTTTTATCAACAGTCCATGAGGTATTGAAAACAAGTGAAACTTGATTTTCGCCTTGCTAAGCTATATTTTGTATGATCCAGATATTTCCCTCTTCTTAGAGCCACCCTAGACTATATTAAGAAGAGATTTAACAGAGTCGTGCTTATACTCCAGGGCTACGTGGAGTACAAAGTACAAAGTAGGGCTGGCCAGGTCCAGTGGATCGTCTGAGTCAGCCGGATTTCGCATCTTCCCAACTCCGACGGCCCAGATGTGTTTCTTTGTTCCTTTGAGCTGTTTGGGGCAACTCTCTCCTTTTTCCTTATTTCTTTTCTCCTTTTAGATTCCAATCCTGATGAGGGAGAGGTACATTGCCGTTATTTGCTATCATTCTAGTCCGTATTACGGTTTACGTCTTTCTGAGATACCCTAATCGACCTAATCTTCCAATCCCGAATCCCACCGGGCATCGGGATGGAATCCGCTCAAATCCCAGCCGGGACCCCTGCACCATATGGCCGCACATGTATGAACTGTTCCCGTGCCAAGTGCAAGTGTATTCTTCTCACAACTGGTACTGGCTGCGAAAGGTGAGTGGCACTACTAGACAGTGGGCAATAGCCCGGACTAAGCACACCATGGGTAGATGCCAGCGCCTAAACAAAGAATGCCGGCCTGCGCAGACAGTCCGCAAGCGCAATAAGCAACCGTCGGGTTCTAGTACTGCTCATCTCGAGGCCAAACTTGATTGGATTATGTCCGAATTTGAAAAGAGGGGTGTTCCCCCTGGTCTTCCAGATTGGCAACCTGCAAACCTAGGACAGGGTTCACGGCATGATCCAAGTCAATCTGCACCAACCACTCAAAGCCCACCCAGTGTCTCTTCTCTTTCGGCTGCCGAAGAAGGACAATATCCTGCAAGGTTTCTACCTTCGTATGATAAGGAGATCTTGTCCCTGATCTACGTCCCGCCCGCCATGGCTCAGAAGTGCCTCGACCATTTCCGCACTCGGAACTTGCAATATCTCCCCTTTGTATACATTCCTGATAGTATGACCTCTGACCAATTACGACACCAATATCCATTCTTCTGGGTATGTATTATGGAAGTCACCACATTTAACAACCCAGAAAAAGGCGACTCTTTCGGGAGAATAACCAACCATATTCATCAGAGAGTCATGCTTGACCTTGTGCCGAGCATGGATCTTCTCCTTGGAATCATGACTTTTGTATCATGGTGAGAAGAAAAAAGACACCCTTACAAAACCCACTTTTCTCATTACAATTCTCTTTGCAGGGTTTCATACACCAAAAGGCCATTCTTAAATGTCTACGCACACATCCTAATGGCAGTTGTCGCCGAGCTTGGGATCAATGGCCCAAATGATTATTCGGCCATGAGTTCTTTCAAAGACGCCATTGGAATGAAGCAAGCTCCACCCGCAGCCAGAACACTGGAAGAAAGGAGGGCTGTGCTGGGATGCTACTTGATTTCATCAAGGTGAATAGTAAATGCCCAAAGAAACACTCTAAACAATAATTAACAGCTATACTACCAGCGCCGCGTTGGCAATATCTAGGATCGATGCTATGCGCTGGACACCGCACATGGAAGAAAGTCTTTCAATACTCACCGAGGCTAAAGAGTGTCCCCAGGATGAGCTTTTGGTTGCGCTAGTCAAGATCCATTTGGTCTTAGACAGAGTTTATCAACTGCGGCGGGATGGTGCGGTTTTTATCTCACTGCCCTTCTATCTGGATAGCCTCAAAAATCAACTAGACACAGTGAAGGGCCAAATTCCGCCTCACCTTCAACATCACAGTACGCTTCTACCCCTTTTGACTCTCCACACCCATGACTAACAACACAAAAGGAGTCATTCTGCTGTTTCTTTACAATGCGGAAATCATAATCAACGAATTATCAATAGGCACCCCCGGCATTTCACATTCGCCTGATCCCCAGCGCCTCGACAGCCTTTACACGACCCTCCGAGCAACAAAAGGCTGGCTAGATGTATGGATAGAATTTGAAGCAGAGGAGTACCTGCAGTTATCGTGTATAATCTTTTTCCAATTCACTCGAGGAATTGTCAGCCTGTACCGGCTCACCGTCCTGGAAGACCCGGCATGGTCCCAAAGTATGGTCCGAGACACCGCAAATATCCTCGAATATCTGAACAAAAACGAAGCCATCATCAGAAGGTGTCCAGACTATATCACTTTCGACCACAGCAGGGAAATGAACCTTCTCGAAAAGGGGCTGAGAATGATCCAAGGCATGAGAATGAACTGGGAGCCGAAATTGATGGAAATGTGGCGTTCAGATATGCCCGGGGATAATGGGATAAATAGCGGCATGATCCAGTCTGATGCTGTACTCCCTGATGTTATGCCTGTGGATGAGATTGATGAGGCCTGGATGATGGACTTCCTTGGCTCGTTATGAATCTTGACCTGAGATGCTTGAAACTATGGACAAAAAGTGAGATGGGAGTAAAAGCTTTAGACGTAATATGATTCACCCTAGTATATTGTTGCATCCTTGGAACCTTCCACAGATCTCCGATCTATGAGCTGAGCTGCAAGCTCCGCGGCCACGGAAATGATTTCCTATTTACCCAAGAGCACTAGGGTGTCTATAGAGGCCAACTAAACTTTATCATGCTGCGTTCCTTCGCTCAAATGCACTTCGAGATGCACGATGGCAAAGTACTAAGACGCTACTCAGGTGGGATTCCATGTGACTTTGCAACGAACAAAGTTCATCGCCGATTGGAGACCAAGGTTGAGCGGTCGGAATTTACGACTTACATCTTGCGATACAATGATGACAGGTCTATGACCATACGGGAGACGGAAGCAAATGCAGCTTTGCTGATACTTGCTGGCAGTGAGACGACGGCCAGCCTACTCTCCGTGTTCACCTATTATATCATGGCAAACCCTTTGGCCTATAGGAAACTCGTGGATGAAATCCGAGGATCATTCAACTCTTACGAAGATATTGATTTCCAGAGAGTTGGTCAACTGACTTACCTGAACGCAGCACTCGAGGAAAGTCTGCGGGTTTACCCACCTGTTCCGGCTATTATTCCGCGGGTTGTACCTAAGGAGGGTGCATTGATAGTTCCAGAGAACGTATGTTTCTTCTTCCAAGTTTGATCTTTATGTATATTGATTTCAACAGGTTTCTGTGTCTGGGGCCCACTATTCTACCTACCATTCCGAGTCTCATTTTACCAAAGCCGACTCGTTTATCCCCGAGAGATGGCTGGATAGCAGAGACAAACGCTTCGAGTCGGACAAGTCGGACAGCAGTTCAACCATTCTCACTTGGGCCCCGTAACTGTCTTGGAAGAAAGTAAGTTTTGATCCTTGATATTTTTAGGGATCGGGCTAATCGTGTCTATCCACAGTCTTGCCTATGCAGAAATGCGTCTAATTATGACCAAGGTCTTCTGGAGCTTTGATATGACCATGGACGAGAGTTCAGCCGCTTGGAATATCCAGAAATCCTACAATATTTGGGAACGCAAGCCATTAATGGCAAACCTCTCGCTGGCACAACATTGAAAGTGTTGCAAAATCAGTCATATTCTGCGGTTTGTTTAGTGTAACTGAGCGTTATGGATTACTATACAAGGTATGTGGGTAGATATATGGCCACTCGCACATTCGTGACAGGGACGAGGAACCATAGTCGACTAGAGCCTCTCTGCCAATAAACAAAATTCTCGATATTTTATATGCATGTCATTTGTAGAACAGCTGTCTCAGTTTATTTGCCTTTAGAGGAGCTGCGAAATGTATATCTTGCTGAGAACTCCGTTGCACATACATGCATAAGGTTGTCATACACTAGTTAGTCCTTATTATCTGTACACGCATGTGTACAACCTTGAAATTGAGACATCAATCAATGTTGGAGGTGCGGGACTGAGATTGAGATCGAGTTGAACATACTGGTATGGGCTATGGTTGCACATTTGAAGACAAGACTTGGATGATATTTTTTTAATGGTCTAGTCCGAAAAAGCCACAGCTACGAAGTTACACGGCATGAAATTTAAGTGAGTTGACCGTTTGACCGTTGGGTCTATCCATCTTCCCCGATGATGCCGGCTCTCCGGCGAATCAAGATGAATATCTAGATCAGAAGACATGCAGATTTGACAAGGGCCTAAATCTTTGTATCGCAACACAAAAGGGAAAAGAACACATAATATATGTACAAATCAGAGACAAAGTAGCACACCCGGATAGCAAATTCGAGTATAAAGATGGCTTCTCATCCACCAGTTAATCCACCATTCACCATCGACTATTCCAAACAATTGAATTCAACAAACAATATGTCTAGTTTTGTCAAGATTCTCGCACTTGTGCCTTTGGCACTAGCTGCCAGCCCGGTCATGATGGTCTCTAATCAGGTACGACTATGGAGTGTGCTCACACCCGATCAATTTGTTTACTTTTTATCTAGGCCATGGTTTTCAAAGAGAACGACTTTGCAATGAATGCCGGCCGACAAGGATTACTCGTTCCGTCTGATGGAAATTGCATGAATTTGGACAAAATGTCCGAGTAGTAAGTTGAATATTCTTCGCATCACTATGAAGTTTTGTTAACCAAAGTATTAGCCGCATGAATGTTGGATCAGTATATGTCCCATGTTCATCCGAGGCCAAGCAAGACATGATGTGCTCAATGTACCTGTAAGCGAAAAGCCTCTGACTACAAATATCTAGTGCTAAACCATCTAGCGACAACTCTTGCAACAATGAGCTATTCACATTCACCCGACCCCATGCGAATTTGCTCAGACAAGCTATTGGCGATGGCGGTAGCGTTGGCAAACATGTCAGAAGCATTAAATGCATGACGGTACATTCCCCTGCCGATAGACAAGGACATATCTTCTCAAGTGATCATGTGTCCACCAAGAGTCCAAGCAGCTGCCCCAATGACAGATGTTCCGGTGGAATGAACTGTCAATCAACCCACCCAGATTATGGCATGTACTGCTCTTCAAGCTCCATGACCTGCCAGCGAACTTCTGTAACTGGCGCCCTTTGCAAGGAGGACGGCCAATGTGTCGCGGGTCATTGTCAGAGTGGAATGTGCATAGCTGCCGCAGAGAACCTGCGTTGTGTGCGGGGCTCTGTTTGTCCTTCTGGCATGCAGTGTCGTCCTACCCGTGTTCTGAATTCGCTTGGAACTTCCATGGTCGAAATGGTCTGTATGAAAGATGAGGATGTTCGCGGTATGCAGTGCTCTGCTGAAAAGCCTTGCGCCGAGCGTATGTCGTGCAGCCTTCAACATGAGACTAACGTGTACTGTGAGTGGGATGATACTTGTGCACTGAATAATATGGGTTGTGTATCGGGCAGCCAATGTTGCTCTGGAGTTTGCAGGACCAATTTATGCCAGTGATAAGTCGCCAATGATTGTCTTTGTGAGGGATATCAAGCTTGGATGAAACGGTATTGAAATTGATGTAGGAACTGGATTCTAGCTGGGTAATATGTGTGTTAACTGAGAATAATTGAGATTTACTGGCAATGAGAAAAATTTCCCTCTGACCGTGCTATAAGTTGGATTAACCTCAACTTGTTCATTAGATCTGATGTACAGAGAAAGTATTTTCTTTTAATCAAACCTCAGCCCAGCTTTAGGCTACAAAGTCGGTTGAATTACTCCTCTCAAGCACTCAGTCGCTGAATTCTTTCCAATGTATCCTCTCGAATCTCATAAACAATATCTTCCGCAGCTTTCACATCATGTATCAGTCCCACAGAGGCCCCCGCATATGTCGCTAGTCTCCCCTCAGGTCCCCAACCCTTATCGCCCGTCTTAACAGCTTCATCATGAAGCCTTTTCAGTTCCTCGAAAGACTTCCCTTCCTGCTGCTCAACAAATGACCTGTTGAAGATAGTTCGGGGACTGTATTCCTCTGGCCACCCAAAGGTGCCCCTGAGGTGATTATACAGTAGCGTACGCGTGGTGGAGGTTGCACCATCGACTGCACGCACAACCTCGTCCTGGTAACCCCGGCTAATGCGTGCTTCACTGGCAGCCAGGAATCGAGTGCCCATCACCACGCCCGAAGCTCCAAGACACAACGCCGCGGCAACACCGCGTCCATCTGCAATCCCGCCAGCCGCGAACAAATGAATTTGGCTACCTGCCATGGCATCTGCTATTTCGGGAAATAGCGCCATAAGCCCCATTCCATCTTTCGCCCGACCGTGACCGCCGGATTCAGCCCCTTGCACAACAACAACATCTGGTCGCTCACTGTTCTGAAGAAGCTCCTTTGCCTCCTTCAGAGTGCCAATCTGAATCCAGATTTGGGTATCAGGCGATGCCTGACGGATCTTGCTAGACCAGTCGTCGTATTCCTTGGGTCCCTGTCGTGGGGCGTATAGCCAGGCGGCACATGGTTTGTGCTTCTCAATAGCGGCGACGGCTACATTGATGTCATCACCCCAGAGCTGGTATCCTATGCCGACAGGTAGTGTCGAGCCGGGAGTTGGCACTGTGCTGGTCGCTTGGCGTATGAGCGATGATGCTTTCTCGAGATCATCACTTGTGTCTTGTGTTTTGGCACCGGGACCAATGAATCCCAGTCCACCAGCACGAGAGACGGCCACTGCCAGTGCTGGACCGGACATTACTTTCATAGGGGCGCTGACCACAAATGGACTAGATACCCATGGGTATCGCGATAACAAGCTTGTCGCCATGGTTTGGTGTTCAACACGGTCGCCAAATATTTGGTTAATGTTACAAGAAGATAGTGACAATTAGCATGCGATCAGATGTGTGGGAGCAAGCTTGAGTGGTGCTTCGGAGTTACCGAGGCATTTTCGTCGACGTCACAACAATCGGTAGTTCCGCAATATCCGCATTCCGCATTCGTTCCGCAACTATAAAGTACATTCATGATTGGACCATCGAAGTCTATCAAGATGCACACCATGTCGATCTAGTGTGGCTGAAGCAAGGAATTGAGTATATCTCGCGCTCGGAGCCTGATCGCAAGGTCGTCGTGTTTACTCATTTCTGCCCATCAACCCACGCTATGGTTGTCGATCTCAAGACTTGAAAACTGGGAAAACAGTGACCTCAAACCAAAGAGGTTAATACTTCTCTCAATCTGAAGGATTTTATTGTGAGAAGACGGTTAAAATCTAGAATTTGAGTTGCAAATTATATTTATTTCGATTGTTCAAACCGAAAGATTGAGATATGAGTCATTGGGACACTCTTCAATCAAGCTAATTCGGAGCTCATTCAGTATTGAATACATCTCAGGATCTCCCTGCTTGAGGGCATGGTATAACCTTCTTAAAGCTTGTTTTCATCCAAAATATCAGTACCGTCGACATACCCCAACATATAGCTTAGAATAGCCAACCAATAAGTCTCGTAAGAAGAATCGTAGTCACGGCAAAGCAACAAAATCAGGCCTTCACAATATCTCACAGCAGAAGGGGAAACCAGCCATCATCACCATGAAGACTAGAGAAATAGGAGTTTGGATTTTTCTCACTTCAACAAAGATGAGACTGTAAATAATGGTGCTGTTAATCACATGACAGTCCAAAGTTGCAAACATTGAATGAGGCCTCAGGCATCACCGGACAGTTTGGACCCACTCACTCACCTCTCCCCCACACTCATCTCCTCCGCAATACCCGCCCTGACTAGTATCCCTCATTCCTCTCGGAAATTGCGGGATCTCACAGGTACTGCTTATTGTTCGAAGCTATGTCACAACCTACGTCACAACCCGACTTGAAGCGAAAGCGCGTCCAATTTGCCTGTGAGACATGTCGGGTGCGGAAAAGAAAATGTGATGGCACCGAGCCTTGCAACACTTGTCGTGAATGGGGCTACGATTGCCATTATAATCGTCAACCACGACAGAGGCGTCGTGCTTCCCAACAGCCCCCAAATGAAACTGCCTCGCCAAGCCCCCCACAGCAAATTAACTTGGTGGATACACACGGGCTGGATCGTCAATTGTGGGCAAACTCCGGTGCTGCATTTGTTCGGAGGATGGGCCTGAATATCGATCCTGCGGAAGCTCCAAAACTCAGTCTGTTTGGTTGGAATGTTGGAAAGCGACAACTGCCAACTGAATCTCAGGCTGCATGCCCTGTGTTGCCAATCACAGATATCACGTCCTTAGAGCACATGAGGGCCCTCGCTCAGGTTTACTTCGCTAAGATTGGTCTTTGTTATGGCTTTATCGATTCTTCTCAATTTTTTGAGCGACTGGAGGCTAGGTGGCAGTCTCCTGCGCTTTCTGGTCTATACGACAGTGTTATCGGTGGTGTTGCCGCACTAGGTTGTTTGTTTTCCCAACGAAACATGACCATCACCGAATTACATCTCATCGGATCGGCACATTCTATTCTCGATACGCACGTTCTGTGTGGTGCTCCTCCTGTGGACCTTCTGACTGGATGGACATTGCGAGTCGTTTACATGCGAATGACAGATCTGCCGCACTCAACATGGATGGCGAGCTCGAAGTTGATGCATCTGGTGGAAGCTGCAGGTTTCCACCTAGAGTCCAGTGATTCAGTATTTCCGCGCAGTATCGGCACAGACTTTGATCCAAACATCCGAAGACGACTCTTCGGCGTGGCACTACATCTTAATATGTGGATATCGTACGATCTTGGTTTATCAAGAGTCTCCTTTCAAAAGAATGATATGCCGTTGCTTCCATCAACCTCCGAAGGCGATTTAACGGATGAGCTGTTGGGACTTATTCCATTATCGGCAAGCCTAGACCCAGGGAAGGCAAACGGAGATGAGATTAACCTAGGGGAAACCCTTTCGCAAATCCTGGAAAGAGTACACACTGAGCCCCCCTCGGCCATGGCGCAATGCAATCTTGTGCTTTGCATTTTGCGCAGAATCCACACAGAGAAACTTGAAATCTCCCCTCACCTCGCAGAAAAGTCCTTAGCATTGTTGAAAAAGGGACTCGATTGCTCACGCAGTATGGTCAGGAACTGTAATCCCTGGCAACACATGGCAAACGTACCTTTCCACATCATATGTGTCTTGCTCGTGATGGACACACGGCAATCGCTCGCGATGCTCCCCGATGCAATGGAGACATTGAAGCTCGTGGCATCTACTTACGATACAAACACGATGAGAGAGGCGTGGAGTGCGGCTCTCTTGCTAGTTATGCTTTATCAACAGCGGAGGAAAGATGACCTTACGATCTTCAATGGCATCATGAAGATGGAGGAGCAAGAAAGTCCAGCTGAGCCATCCCAGCAGGAATTTCCAAGCGCCGAAGAGTACTCATGGCTAGGGGCTTTGGTTGCTGATCTACCCGGTTTGCAAAGGGATGATCTTGATCAGTTTCTGAATGCGGATATGATTGATGGTTCAAGTTTCTTGGGCGGATCTGGATGAGGAAGCGGCAGAGGCGCTTATGTTTTTGAGAGAAATCAATATTTGTGTAATTGTATGTCAATGTCATTGTTGTTTTTCATAATTCTTAGTACTTTAGCTTTGCTTCGGACTTTCAACCCCTGAAAACAAGTAGGATGTTACAAAGCCTTGCGGAAATTGCGGGTGCCTTTCTTCGCCTGGTTGGTAAAATTCTCCGTTCCGCAATACCCGCTTCTATGCGAAAAGTTGGTTGGAAAAGACACATGCAAACTCACTACATATTTGTGTTAATGTCCCAATAACTATTCTCCCGGAATAAAACCTCGCACTAACTAGGGGAGCTCAACTTGAACTCAGTGCTCCTGGACACGGAACTATAAACCTCATTGACAAATCGTGTCTACTCGTCACTACTCCATCCAGTTAGTTTATCATGCACGAGAAGCCGTCGATTGAAGCAAACAAGGCACTTCCGGCACCTCTTTCCAACACCTCAACCTACATTGATTTCGAAGGGGCTGATGACCCCGAGCATCCTCAGAATTGGAGACTGTCTACGAAGTAAGCCACAAGTCCAAATCTGTCAATAACCTGGATATCCTGAAGACAAACTGACCCCAATTTTACACAGACTTTTCAATTCAATCCTAGTATGCTCAGGAACCTTAATTGTCTCCTTAACAAGCGCCATATTTGCACCAGGAATCGACGAAGCAAGCAAAGATTTCGGGGTGGGAACGGTGGTCGGAACACTGGGAACAACCCTCTACGTCCTTGGCTTTGCATCAGGCCCCCTAATCTGGGCACCTGCATCAGAGCTACGGGGAAGGAAATGGCCTCTGACCATTGGAATGTTAGGCGGTGGAATCTTCACTATTGCATCAGCAGTGGCCAAAAATATCCAGACCTTGGTCATAACCCGTTTCTTCGCTGGCATGTTTGGCGCAAGCCAACTGACTGTTGTCCCCGGTGTACTGGCTGACCTATACAGCAATGCGACTCGTGGTGCTGCTATTTCGCTATATGCTCTGACTGTGTTTGTAGGGCCGTTTATGGCCCCTTTTGTGGGTGGCTTCATTGCGTCAAGTTATCTTGGCTGGCGATGGACGCTTTACATCCCGGCGATTTTTAGTCTGGTCAATGGGCTATTGAGTGTTTTCTTCTTGGATGAGACATATCCGGCTTGTATTCTCGTGGCGAAGGCTGTTGCTATTCGCAAAGAGTCGCGATATTCGAATATTCGCGCCAGACATGAGGATGTCGAGGTCAGCATCGCTGATCTCGTGGAGAAATACTTCACACGTCCATTGACGTTGCTATTCACGGAGCCTATTATTCTCGTCGTGTCTGTTTACATGTCCTTCATCTACGGCCTTGTCTATGCGCTTCTTGAGGCATACCCCTTCGTCTTCGAGCATGTATACGGAATGACGCCTGCCTTTGCTGGTCTAATGTTTATTGGCCTCATTATCGGCGTCGTGCTCGCGTGTGCCTTCATTCTTTATGGGCAGTTGGCCTATGCAAGGAAATTGGCAGAGAATAAGGGCGTGGCAGTGCCCGAGTGGCGCCTTGCTCCAACCCTCCTTGGAGCGCCTGTTTTCACAATAGGTCTATTTTGGTGAGTACAGTCATTTTGTGTTAGAATGATGTATGATGTCTGCTAACTGAAAATCCATCAGGTTTGGTTGGACGGGGTTCACCCCTCAGATTCACTGGGCTGCACCTGCCGCGGCCGGGATATTCATCGGATTTGGGGTGTTATGCATTTTCCTTCCTTGTTTCAACTATCTCGTCGATGCATACTTGCCAATGTATGTTCTCCGTCTATCCGCTCCAAGGAAATCAGAACTATCAAAACACCCCGCTGACTTACCTGGATCTTAGCGCTGCTTCAGCTGTTGCTGCCAATATCATTCTTCGGTCAGCAGTAGCTGCGGGATTTCCTTTATTCTCAAGGCAGATGTTTCAGAATATGGGAATTCAATGGGCCGGCACATTGCTTGGATGTTTAGCTGCAATAATGATCCCCATTCCGATCATATTCAGGGCTTATGGTCCTTGGCTACGAGGGAAAAGCAAAGTATTTCCCTAAAAGTGCTAGGACTTAGATTGAAAAATCTGATATTGTGAGTTATTTCCATGGAGCCACAACCACTACCAAGCCCATGAACATATACGGTGTATTTATCTAGATTGAAACGCTTATTCTCAACTTCCAAAAGGCGTCGCTCCGATCCTTTCTATTCGGCTCTCAAAGCCAAACAGGAACGTAAGGAGCCAGTTGTCCGTGGCCTATCATAGGATGCGAGGGGTCGGAGAATCGGAGGATTGGAGGATCGGAGGATGAGCCACTAGGCATGGCCTGTTGTGGGAGAACAAGGAATAGCCCCCAACCCCGCCTTGTGTTTCAGGATTGCTTGTGTCCTGGAAGCTCATTGTTGTATACTACATGATCCACCAGGAGCATGCCATTTTGGTCGACGTGCATGATGGAGATTTGTGTCGTTCTGTCTGGGACTACTCCGTACTCACTTCTCAGTCCTCCGGGGCTAGTCCGTATATTATTCAGTCTGGAGATGTAAGTATTTGTGCACCTGTAAAATTCAATGTACCTTCAATGAATCTATATAACTATGTACGATGTGATTTGTACTTTTAGTTAGACTAGTGCGTGATCCTGAGTGCATTAGTGTATCCCATGGAGCCGAATCCCTGCCTCGGTCAATCCATCCATTCGACGTTACTTCCTTGAACGAATCCAAATCAATTTACGGTCGATCTTCGAAGACATGTGGTCTGCTCTAAGTTGAGCTCTATAAGTAGACAGAATCCCCAGCTGTCTGAGAACTTAAATCCTATAATCTATAATCTATAATCTATAATCTATAATCTATAATCTAATAGAAGAAAGACAATAGTTCAACGCTATCCTTCAATCGGTATGGAGTCCTATTAACACCAAACTCTTGAGAAGATATTGACCTCGTACCCGGACGAAGTCTATTATGTTACCCCAAACTTCCATCGCGTCTTTACTCCTTGTGATAACAAGTGTTGCAGCCTCTTTCGCAATGTCGACAACCCGGTACACTGCACCAGTCTCCGAATCGATGCCAATTCTGGAGACTCGTCAACAACTCAATGATATGGCAATGCAATTCCCACTCGGTACTTTGGACGACAGGAATGGAGGTTATTATCTTCTCGATCACGATGCTACCATTTTAGCTGTCGCGTCTGATTCCCTCTGTGAAGAACTGGATGCTGCAATGGAGGCCGCAGAACGATACCTCAGCAGCCATCCGGAAATTGATGACGGGAGCGAATCTATTGCACCTCAAAGTGACGAGGCAGACTAGGCTGCCACACACATGCCCTCTGTCGGACCTACAGCGATTGCCAGGTGTGCTCAAGTAGTTACCATTGGTGTTTCTGAACACGCCTAAGAGAAAGATGATGCGGACAATACATGTGCTAGGGTAGAACAGTGTTGAGGCTTCAGCAAAGAAAAAGTCCGAAGAAGTGAGTTAATTCGGGGAGAAAAACTGTCTGATCGGAGCTGGGACTTCAGTCAGGGCATAGATAAAACTAGCACGAAACCCGGCCAAGAAGCGAGACGCAATGAACATTTTCCTTGATATTCGCAAACCGACATGAAATATTCCAGGTCGAGAACCCAATTTTCGAGGCGTGTAGAATAGGTTTTCTTCCATACACCTGCAATAACAGGCCAATGACATGGCGACTCTTGGACACTAACACAGCTGAGCCTCATCAGCAAACAAAAACGTACTTGGGGAACTTTTACTATCGAGAACAGAAGAGAAGAAAGATCCATGGATATGATAAGATTAGATAAACAGGTCCCTTGAGGGTCCCTTAAGCTCTGTTCGTTTATATCCGAATGTAGCATATAATTATGATATTGGATAAACTGAATCACTTAACTTCAAAAGTTGCAAGCCTATACATAGACTACCGGTTTATTGGCCTCCACTTATTCAGGGTTGTTATCAATCGAACTGTCCACAGCCCATCCATTAAGCATGGTGTAATCGGAATACGGCGAGGTGCCATGCAGGGTCTCATAGTGCTTGCGAGGCCCACACTCTCTCAACTTAGCGGAGTCTGCATTAACGCACCGGTGCTGCATGATAGCCGCGATTTGTCGGCCCGCGTCCTGTCCTTCATAGTATGCACCGTGAAGGAATCCAAAGAAGGTTGGGCTGGTAGCCTCGCCAGCAAACCAGAGCCGGCCAGTGTTGGCGCGAAGGTTCTGGTGCATTTCTAGAGATGTGGCAGGAGGCCAATTGGAGTAGCTGCCGTAGGCCCAGGGCTCTGAAGTCCAGCGTGGGTACATGAATGCAGTTGGCTCGGGGATATCCTTCTCCGGGAACATCTTGCGCAGAACTTCCATTGCTTCCTTCTTGGTCTGCTCGTCTGTTTGGCGCTCGGCTCGATAGGCAAACTCGTTGGTCACAGTTGCGAAGATGATGTTGGAATCCGGGAGGAATCCAGGGGTGGACAGTGACTGCCAGATCGGGTACCAGCCACGGGTTACAGGATCAGCGTAGAGGTGGTATTGTGTTTCCGAGGGCCAGAAGGTCTCGTTGAACTGGAAGAAGATCTTGGTGTATGTTCCCATGGTAAACTTCTGAATAGCTTCCTGCTTCCAATCCGGGAGCTCTGGAGAGAAGTTGACTGCGCCGTTTTGTAGAACTCCCAGTGAGAATGTGGTAATAGCATAGTCTGCTTCTATACAGCTGCCGTCTTTGTTGTGAACTGTGACCCCATCGTTCGAATAAGTGATGTTTGTGACCTCGGTGTTCAAGTGAAGACGGGGGTCATTGTCATTGAGGAAAGTCGCTGCAAGACTTTTAACAATGACATTCAATCCACGTTGGTCTAAAACGAAGTTATCGTGGTCGCTGAAATAATTGAAGGTCAAGTTGTCACCGGCACAACCGAAGACAAATGAACTCTCTATTGGGGAGTAAGCAGATTCAAAGTCTAGTCGATACGTTAGTTGATCGTGCTAGGTGCATTTACCAGACAGATAACTTACCCCACGACCACCAGTCAACAGCCTGTGCTTCCATGTCATGTGCCTTGGGGCTCCAACCAGCCAAGGCCAGGCCTGACTTGGCGTTTTGATCCTGGAGATTCTGAGTAAGAATCTCACCTGCCCTCTGATTGGCAATATCATAAGCCTCGTCATAGGCGTTCAGTAGATCGCTATAGTCGGAGTAACCATCCTTGTTGTAGGTTGATACATTGTCGTAATTTGACCAATGGGTGGTCAGTCCGTATTTTTGAGCCTGTCCAAGGTCAGTTTGTGTTCGATCGAAGATACTATGTCGAGACTTACCAAACCCCAGATTGGGTTCTGTGGACCTCCCTCACTTCCAATACCTTGTACCTATTTAACCTGTCAGCACAAGTCCTTCCTTACAGCTGGGGATATGCATACCCAGTTGGCACCCATCTCAATAATATAAGGCTTGCCATCTTTGTCTTTGCCGAATGGCTTATGCCAAGCCCGACCGCCGATAGTATCACGGTACTCGAGAATCACGAAATCATGCACGGAAGCATTCGTGAGAGCTTGCTATGAATTGTCAATGACATTCAGATGAACGAAGAGGGAAACTCACAGCAGCAGTAATACCAGCCACACCACCTCCCCTATAGTTGGTTAGTTTGAGATCAATCAATAAGACATCCAGTGCTTACAAGATTGCAACTTTAGTTTTCTTGCATGTTCCCTCAGTTCGAGTATGATAAGGCGCAGCGATAACAGGCTGGATAGCGCCTGCTATGGCCAAAAGTGAAAGGAGCTTCAAATGCATGGTGAAGGTCTGGAGATCTGAAAAGAGGACGGCTTATGATAAATAAATAATACTCCAAGACATTGAATTGACCCACAATGGCGTGGGCCCGGCTGTACCTGTCGAGATAAGATCCCGTAAAAGAGAAGAAATGAGAAATGAGAAGATCTTCTATGTTGTACACTCTTCCGTACTATTTGTGATGTACTATGTTGTACGCAGGAAACTACTTTCCGCAATTGGGAAAGTACATGCGGGAAGCTAAGAGAATACGGTGTGGTTATATAGAGATATCTGCGGGGATGGACTTCAATATTCTTCCTTTTGTTTTTTTTTTTGGTTTTGTTTTTTTCTTTCTAATTTAAATCAATTCTAACTTCCTTCTCATTACGTTTGGAATGCTTAATTAGGCTAGTACATCCCGAAGTGTCAGATATACTAGTTATAGTTAACTACTGTTGGACGGGAACTGAGGCTAATCTATAACGTCTACCGGGTACTCGTCACCCCGAGTATCTCCCAATTTATTCATGATATCGAATAATGTCGAAGTACAGTAATCGGTACTTCCTTTAAAATAGTGCACAGACCAAGAACTAGATTCAACCGGTAGTTCTAGCACTAGAGCCTCGGTAGTCATACGTACCGGGTATGGCTCGGAAGCCATGTTGGAAGCTTTCTCGAACATGCAATTGAAGTGTTTTGGGCAATAACTCCGCGAAGTGATTGTCGTTGAGGATTCTTTGAGTCAGAACACCAAACGCTACTGCTCCCAAGGTCCCTCTGATTTGAGATACTCCATGCAAGCTCCGCCGAAGGTCGTTGACAAATAGGTAATAGGCAGTAATAATTGTTCTAACATGTCCCCCTTGATCAGGTGCCGATAAAGCCACAAACTGTGCCGTGAATAGGCCTGCCATTCCGGTTCCTGCAAGAAATATTCGGATCAGACGAAGATAGCTAGCACTCGAGTGCCAGATAAGGGCAAGTATAAGATAGTCCGACCTACCAAGACCCATTCTTTTTAAGATTATAAGTCGGGATAATCGAATTTCATGAAAGATACCTCGAGCTCATTAACCACAGAGAGAGTGGCTGAAGTAGCGAAACTGACTCCAAAGGTGATCGTCCTGGGAAAGAAGATCAAGCTTGTCAGCACATTCATGGATCTGACTGGCCACACTCCTATGTACTAAGCATGCAGGAACCGGGTGATGTATTAAATTCATCACAATATCACTACCTAATGAAAGATGTAGCTGAGGTGAGACCTTGCATTAGAATTGCCAATGTTTTGACTGGAATGTGGGGATTGTTATGCATATGTAGCGTATGTGACTTGTCACTATCCAAGATCTACATCCATATCATTGCATATTATTGAGTCATCAGTTTCAAGACTGCATTTATCAACCGACAGGTTTTCGATTTGATTATAACCTTGTAACCAACCCACTTCTTTCTTTGATACATCCTCAATGTTGGCGTCCTATTTTCTTTCGGTGGGGTATGCTACATACTGTATACAGTGGGCAAGAAAATGCCTTTGTATTATACAGTGAATAATATTGTCAAGGCAGCTGAGACAAATACGAAACTCTGATCATGTCAACTTGCTTTTTCGGCAGATTCATAGATGATTGGTCGAGTTTCCCAATGTCTTAGATCGGACATTTCGAGCGTTTAGCACTATAATTTTCATACCGTAATAATATATATCTTCAATTTTCTTAAGATCAATCTATAATATTTATCAATCGCTATCGATAGGTAACAGGATCAAATACAAACGTGGTTGTTGAGATATTAAGTTATAATTCATGTGTTTACTATATGTTTAGGCGTTAACTATCGCAATATGATTGTACAATTTATTATTTTCGAGTCTCCCTCTACTCTCGGAGCGGAGACTCGAAAATAAGCCTCCCGGAACTTTTAACGGGTCTCCCCGAGCTGAAACCCGGGACAGGGCCGAAGACTTCTGCGTGAGCTCCTGAGCCCAGGAGATACTTCCATGCCGTCTCGATGAGATAGGGGGTTAGTGGTTGATACATCGAGGTAATACATAACTAGATCGACAAGGTGAGAACATGGGAATAATCTGCATGGCCCCTTGGAATAAGTGGGATTTCCTCATTTCCGGAGTTCCATGACAAGCCATAAAGAAAGATCTTTGTCCGTAGATACAAAAACATAATAGACATAGTCATGATCCCAGGAACAGGGTGGAAACATTGCTGTGGTTTGATGGCCGCAAATATATTCCACGAAGAGAAAGAGAAAAAAATGCAAAGAAAGAGGAACAAACCGAACGAGAAGAACATCGCCGAGCTATGCAAAGGCCGTGTCAGATGCCATCTGACGTTTTCCCCGAACGCCAAATCAGAAACACCAAAGGTTCAGAAAAAGAGGACCAGAAGATTATTCTGGGCTAAAGCAAAGAGAAGAAGAAAAGGACATGTATGCATAGGATAACTCCTTTCAGCGGAAGGCGTAAGAAGGGCGAACCATTTTCGATACTTCTGGATTCA